CCCTCTCTCTCTCCCTCTCCCCCTCTCTGTCCAACCTCTCTCTATGTCTGTGTAGAATCTATCAATTGTGTACTCGTAAAAGGCTTTATTTGTGTGTGTGAAGGTGCGTGTTTATACTCTAATTTCAAAGAACGATTCTTTTAGATTTTAGTACAGAACAAAAAATGAAGTAGCTCCGTTGTATTCTCCTGGCTCAGAATTTGTGTTCTTGAGTTTGAATGATGATGCTAGGAATTTTGGGTTTTTTTTTGCTTCCCTTTACTTAATACATGTATATATATTTGCTTCTTTTCCCGGCACCCCATCCTCCCCTCCCCCTTTTCCCCACCACCTTCCTCAATTTCCTCTTTCGTGTTAAATAGCTATGATGGGTTTCCAGAAGATACACATATAACCTTAAACGATACAGGTGGGTGGTTGGCGGGTGCTCTGATGTGGTTTGCTCCTTCTTTCCTTTCAAAATATATCATCCTGGTCTCTCCTCCTTCTTTTTTGTGTTTGTTACTCTTTTGTACTTCTGATCTTCTTATAGTGTTGCAAGTGCCGTAAAACACTTACAAAAACTAACAGTCCACTCTCTGATGATTCCATCTCAGGGAAGGCACACAATATCGCGGAATTTAAGCATGGTCGATTTTCCGGACAATACTAAAAAGTTCACTTCCAAAAGTTCTTTTGTTTTCAGCACACAAAACAGGATGACAGAAGTATATTTATAACTATAGTAGTAATTTGATAATGATAATGATGATAATAATAGAAACTATACTGATAATAATAAAGATAATAATAACAACAATGATAATAAATAGGCTGATGATGATAATAATAATAATAATAATAAACATTAAAAAATAAGAGTAATAATAATGATCATAATGATAATAATCATCATAATCATAATACAATAATAATGATCATAATGATAAATAGCATTTGTATAGCGCATATCCCTGCTCAACAGCAGGCTCTATGCGCTTTCCTAAAAAATATCAATGATATTGATGATATCAATACTAACAATAATGGCAATACTGATTACGATGAGTGATGGTGATGGTAATAAAAATATATAACGAATCAACAATAATCTAAGTAACAGTGTTGATAAAAAGGCTCTTTAATAATAAATGATAATACAAAAAGAATTCTTAATAGTGTTAGTAATAATAATTGCGATTATAGTAACAGTGATAACAACAATAATTTTAAAAATAAACAATAATTGTGTATTGGTTAAAAATATCCACGCTCCCTCTCTAAGTTTGGAATCATTCACTGGTGTGGATTCGACCCTACCCTATCACTGACTCTTTTTAAACGCCACACACACACACACACACACACACACACACACACACACACACACACACACACACACTCACAGGAGAGAGAGAGAGAGAGAGAGAGAGAGAGAGAGAGAGAGAGAGAGAGAGAGAGAGAGAGAGAGAGAGAGAGAGAGAGAGAGAGAGAGAGAGAGACGCATAAATTAATCATGATCTGGGCCAATTCTTCTTCTTCTTTCTTCTTCTTCTTCTTTAGGCGTCAGGTCTGGTGCGGACTTGACGATCGTGGTACCCCATCCATTCCCGTTGTCTCATTGTCTGTCTTTTCTTGTTCACCTCTTGGTTTTTCTCTTTGCGTTACTTGTTGCAAAGTTGTTCCGGCCATCTGTGTATGTTGAAAATGGGCAATAAGAAGGCAATCCCCCCCCCCTTTTTTTTTTCTTCTACCTTCCCCCCATTTGTCTCGGTTGCCTCTTTGTTTGTCTGTCTCACACACGTTAATATGAAAAGGTCAGTGAAGACAGTGGCAGTTTTATGGTCTACTGCCGTTTTGTTTTAGTTTCAGTTTTACTGTCATGAAACAGCTCTATCTTCGGCACTTATATGACAAAATTGAGTTGTAAGTGCCGTAAAACTCTTGCTAATATAAAAGAGATAGATCTACCATCTAAAAGCAAACAAAATCAACCAAACACACCCCCCCCCCCCGAAAAAAAAGAAATAAAACCAAAAACCAAAGCCAGTTAAGCACTTGTGAAATAATGATGCTGGCATAATGATTTAATTTTGTATTGCCGCTAAATGATGGATGGGAAGGAGCCAATATTGTTTACTACGACGACTGTGTTAATCTATGTGAAGAATGAATCGCTAGACACTGGAAGCTGCTCGTCTAGACACGCCAATTTACACAATGTCAGAATTAAACGCTTTTGTCAACAGTTGAAAATTTACTGCCCTAATGAGGATAACGCCTTATCGCTTCCTTGGAAATAATTTTATGATGGGGTTTTCGTTCCTCAGGTGATGTATTTAATAAATAATTTAACAATAGACCCACAACGCATGACTGACTTTACATTACGCTACCTGTTGTTTGAATAAGAACTGCAAACATTATCTGGCTGGCTTAATTTTTACAGCTTACGTTTAATTTGTTTTTTTGCGTTTTCCTGATGTTATTGAACTGCCCATTTCCCTGACTTCAGGAAACTTCTTTCTTCTTCTACTCGTTCCTCTTTATGTCGACATCCCAGTCTCTAGTCTCTAGTGCAAAGGCTGTTGTTCGCCGAAGATCCTATTTTATAGTACAGTTAAAGAGGGGGAAAAAAACAGCAACAAAAAACAACAACAGTGGGTGGTTGACGGGTGCTCTGATTTGGTTTGCTCCTTCTTTCCTATCAAACATCTATCGTCTTTATCTCCCCTTCTTCTTTTTTATGTGTGTTACTCTCTTGTAACACCTAATCTTCAGGCGCTCATATGACCTTATGCAGTTGCGAGTGCCGTAAAACCTCTACTAAAACTAAAAACTAAAAAAAACCCAACAACAACAAAAACAAAAAACACAAAACGACAAAGAGTAATAGTAGCACGGTAATAACTAGAAACTCAGCTTTGGCTTAGTTTATTATTATTCTCTCTTTTTTTTTTACCAAAGAGTTATCAAACCTTATTTGAATGCAAAGAAGTTTTCACTGCTCTCATCTCGTAAATTATAAGCCAAAGCATGCTTGAAACAATCTCTATTGTATACTTTGTCGTTCAAGTAATGAGGCGTCCAGGTGTTAATTACCTGACCCTGTTATACACTGGTGTAATTATCATCATAAAAATATTTGACGTATAGTTGTCGTCTTGAGCAAAGCAGGAGTAAAGGTTTAGATAAATACATCAACTAATGTACAAGTTAAACATCACGACAGGCCATAAATTACTCAGTGCAACATTGATCACTGACCAAAGGAATGACCATAGCCCACCTGGCCATAAATATTTCTTGTGTCTCTCAGAATCAGATTATTGGCGTCTGTTGTGTCGGTGCACTGTCCCCGTGGTTTTATGCACCCCGCATGATTTAGCAAAATTTGATCGTTTTTTTTGTGTGCATAATTTCTGATTATTTTCCTTTATTATTCTTTGTTAAAATTAACAGAATCGCATCATTTCACATTTTGGGCTCAGTTTGCATGATTTCAAATTTTTTCTTTCTTAAAACGACGAGGACAGGTCGCACACAGAAAAACTGAGTTCAACTACCGCGCGAGGTGAAATATTTATTTATTCATCGAGTAACTTGGTCTTTCTGCTGTAACTTGGTATCCTTCTCAGGTCTTCTTTTGCCCTGACAGGCAGAGTCGAAGCCCGCCTCCCAAACCATCTAAATTAAGTGCATTGGTGTGGGGGAGGGGGGGTGTGTGCAAAACATCAGCATCTACATTTTCAAAAAGTCAATTATTATTGGATCAATTTGACAGTTTGCACAAACATGAAGCGGGTTGGACACACATACTCACGAGCGAATGTACACGCACGAACAAACACACACGCACAAAACACTAAAATGTACCCAGTCAATGACTCCAATTAGACTCCAGCAAGACTTCAGTTACTTTGGGCATAGGTTAGAGTCTCCAAATATTGTCAGTTTATTTTAAAATTTAGCGCACCCAAGCCTCGAAGAAGAGGGAGTACAATAATTGGTCGCTTTTAAGCACAAGGGGGCTATCCCGAAAAAAAGCTGTTTTAATCAAGAAAATCGCAGGTAAAGTTTTTGCCCCTTGTTCAGTTTCTTACTTTAAAAGACAAGGTGAGATTTCTCTATTACTAAAGAAATATACACACCAATGAAACCAAACTGTTCCTATAGGTAGGGCAATGCCCACTTTTGGTGTAGATCAAGATTCCTGGAAACCCCCGAAATCTGGGTTTGTGCCTAAAAGGGACAAATTATCGTTTCAAATATGGGAAATGTATTATAAAAATGGCAATACGTCCAGTCTTCGAGGGGGGAAAATCTCTGAAACAAATTAAATTGATGTTCACGAGCTTAAAATCCATACGACTTATTCAAAAACAAAAATTTCACGCTGAAGTCTACACTCTTTTTACTTTACATTTTCTTTAGTCATGTTCTTCTTTGAAAGCTGCTTACAAGTCAAGAATATTCCGTCGTTCATTGTTTTGCAACTTTCTGTACATTGTATTTTCTTTCTTTCTTTCCATCTTTCTTTCCATCTTTCTTTGTTTATTTATTTGTTTGATTGTTTTTTTAAAATTAGTTTAGTTTTAGTTTAGTAAGTGTTTTACGGCGCTCGCAACCTGTTTATATTCATATCTTAATGTACTTCTTATAGATCTATTGCTAGTTCGTTTGCTTTCATTTATTCGTTCATTCATTCACTTGTTAGCTTGCTTCTTTTTTCTGTCATTTATTCAGAACTCGACCCTCCTTTGCATCTACACTTGTGCCCTCTAGTGGTCATATTCTCGGCAGGTGACCGTTAGAGCAAGCTCGACTGTATGTCAATTAACCCTTTTTTGTTGTTCTCTAGCTTCATTATTGATATAAGAATCAGAGACAGTAATCCGTTATCTCCATGACGTAGAAGTTCTTTCATAATTGTATGTCCACCTTTCTGTTCTTGCAGATGTTTCAAAGAGATCCCCTACGAACATGACGACTACCCCCGGCTCAGTGTAAAGGAACTGCTTCATTTTCTGAAGAAAAAAAGAAGCCACAGGGACAAGTGAAAAACAAGAAATACACGCATCAGCCGCTGCTTCAGCCAAACACTACTACTGAGCTCAAACTTGAGAAGTTGAGTAGCATTCTCCTGCTGTTTCAACAAAGAAATAGAAGAAGGTTTGTCGTTTTCATCCGCTTCCGAGCGTCGCCGATAGGACGACACATTTTTGGACACCATCGTCGACAGGACACACTTAAGGACACCTTAAGGACACATCCGTCGACAGGACACGCACGTTTTTGGTAGAGGGTCACCAGTTACCCCAGCAGCATCATCATCATGAGTTTAAGCGTTGGCGGCTACCCCCAAAGCTACCCCCACCACCCCCACCCCCACCAGCCTCATCACTACCACCACCCTCATCATCACACCCTCCAGACTGGTGGCAGCGGGGGAGGGGCGGGGGCAAACCAGGGGGGAGGAGCTATGACCACGCCCCACGACTTCTACCCCGCCTATCCGCATCCACAGATGTCTCGCTACCCGGAGCACCCAGACTCTGCTACTGCAGCCGCGGCTGCTGCTGTAGCTGCCTCAGGAGGGTAAGAGTTAACATTTGGGTTAACACAACGACCTTATAATAAATTACAGGTGGGAATGGGTACCCGGCCATAGACAGCGAAAGATCTTGTCAGTACGTTAGTGTTTTGGCGCCTATAAATGGCTGCTTGGCCTGTGTGCCTCCCCGGAAGTTTAGGTTGTTTCAGAATGCTCTCATGTCTGCAGGGGCAATAGTATAGATTGAGAAGCGCAAAGAGCTTGCTGCTGAGCTGGGATTTGCGCTATACAAATGCTATCTATTGTTATTATATCACCTCCTTGGGTTAACCCCTTCACTATCTCATACTTTACTTTACTTTGCTTTACTTTTCCGATTCAGTTGACATCTGAGTTCAAGCCCTTCGGTCTGCCGATATGGCAAATAATTTACAGGTTTTTATCAACTGTGTTTTGTTCCAGTATAGAGTATCTCATAAGACAGTGGAGTCCACTTGAACCGAAATCTGCAGGACCACCAGATTTTCTTCGGTTCAGTCGGGTTTTCAATTTAAAGATTACATGTATGCTCAAACAGAAGAGGAAAACATTGGGGATTACAAACATACATTTTTTGGGTTAACCGCTGGTTTTGGATTAACGTTGCTCGGTTTAAACGGATTCTTCTCTGATTGTATTTTATATAGCGCCTATCCACGCTCTGTAGCATGGTCTATGCACTACACAACTATTGTTACCCCAGCAGACTTCCAGAAACATTCTCAGCTTCTCGGGAAGCATACAGTGCAAGCTAAAACACTAACAAAATGATCCCCCCAAAAAATCGCTGTATCTTGCAAGAATATAGGCTTTGGTGGAATACTAAAGCAGGATTGGCGGTGAAAGGTTTTAGGTCTATGGGTATTGTTAGACGTGAACGTAACTATTCCACTGGTCTATAACTTTACAGGACGAATGAGTTTGTGCGTGTTTATAGGGAGCGGAAGATATATATAGAGAGAGATAGATAGAGAGATACAGAGATACAGACAGACACAGACAGACATACAAACAGAGATAGACATACATACATACAGACAGACACTGATAGACAGACCAAATGAATAAATAATTAAACAAACAAACTCCCCTGTCATTCTATATCATGTGTCTACAGCTACTTCCCCAACTGGATGCTGAGTCCCCCTCCAGAACTGACCGCCGTGTCCGGCCACATCCCAGACGGCTACCACAGTTTCGGCGCCCCGGGCTCCAACTCCCCGGGCGGGACGCACTACCAGTCTTTCATCCAGTACGAGAACGGCGTGCCCGTAAGGTGCATCAAGCGCAGGGTCACCGCCAACAAAAAAGAACGCCGAAGGACTCTCAGTATCAATAACGCCTTCGCGCAGCTTCGCGGCTGCATTCCCAACGTGCCGTCGGACACTAAACTCTCCAAGATCAAAACGTTACGCCTCGCCACCAGCTACATTTCCTATCTCATGGACATACTCGCGAAAGACGACCCCGAACTCTCCCGAACTGGATTTAAGGCGGAGCTCACGAAGAAAGTCTCGTCGTCGTCGCATTCTTCAGTGGCCGCTGCCAACTCTGGTGGCGGTGGTGGCGTAGTGAATACATTGGTGGCTGGGGTCAGCGGGAGTAACGTTAACGGAAAACCGGAAGCCACCATGGCCGCCGCCATTGTTCAGGCTAGGACAATTCTAGACAGGAGCGACGACAAGCGGAAGAGAGAATCGGTAAGAAAGATATAGACACCTGTCAAATTGTAACGGCTTGATAATAATAATAATAATTTATGATAACGATAAGTAATAATAATGATAAAAATAATGATGATAATAATG